TACCCCAGCCAGTATGCAGGCAGTATAAACACTGCCCTTGGCTGTCTTCCTCGATGAAGAGGCAGGCCAGGTGTCAGATCCTATCTATCCAGGCCACACACAAGCTACATCTATACATTTGGACAACCTATGTGGACATACATATCATATATTAGTAAATGTGTAAATTTCTAATTTTAGGAAAATTTGCCCCTAATATTTCACATTCCTGGAGGGTATCACAAACTAAGGGTATCAGAATGATGAAAAGGTCTGCTTTTTCTTTCTAATATGAATTGAGTACGTACTGAGCTTCATAGGCTCCCAGCAAATTTAATTTCAACGTATGTTTACAGAGAATCCATTGACTACATAATAACATAGGATTAGATCCTGTAGAGCACTTGAAAAATAAAAAAAAATAAAAACAGAAAATGTAGCTTCTTCCTCAAGTTATAATAATGATAATAATAGAGTTGGAGAAATCATGCATAAATGAAATAACCAGAGGACTAAGGATGTAGCATAGCAACGTAACACAAGTAGTATACATTTAATAATTATAAAATTTAAGTGTTAGATACTAGAGCAGCTGAGTCTTAACCAGGTCTTAAAGAAAGGAATATGAGTTGCTATGATGGAAACAACCGTTCCATCCAGAGAAAGAATAGTGTGATAAACCACGTGCATAAAAGTGAGACCAAGCAGGTCTGACTGGAGTAACAAGACCGTTCTTGAGTATGACAATAGGTAAAGTGGAATAAATACAGTTAACTCAAGAAAGAAGGATCCTGAAAATTGAAAAGTTTTGATTTTATCCAAGTTGATCAAAATAATTAAAATGGAGTTTAATGAATATTTTCTGGCAATTATCTTTTAAGTTAGATGGAAAAGGAGAAAGGCTGGAAGTGTATTTATCAAATAGGAGGCTTTTGTAACAATTTAGACTTGAGGGACCAGAATGTTGGCTAGGAAAATGGAAAACTTAATATCATAAATTTAGACATTGAAGAGTCATAAGAAATCCTCTAGTCCAAGGGTTCTTCACCTTTTTTGTGTCATGGCTCCCTTGGTAGTCTGGGGAAGCCTATGGACCCTTCTCAGAAAAATGTTTGCAAAGACATTAAAAAATGCGTAAGATTACAAAGGAAACCAGTTATATTGAAATATGGATGAAAAATATTTTTAAAAACAAGCTCATGGCCCCAGTTTTAGAATTCCTGTCTTAGAGAGTTGCCTGAAATCTGTGAGTTTAAATGATAAATAATTTATCCATGGACATTGTAGCTAGTATATCTCAAAAGTAGGTCTTCCTGCATTTAAGCCCAGTACTCAATGTCCACTATCCCATGGTACACCTCGTATTGTCCCTGTTGTAATTAATGAAATGCAAATTCATTTAAAAGTGTTCATTTATAATGCCTTTTGTCATCAGTTTTCTCAATCAATAGATACTAGTAAGTTACTATTGATGCCCATCTCCTAGAGTTATTGGAGATCCAGCATTGGATCCTGAGTTCTTGACCTTGGTGGGGGGCAGTGTCGAAAATATTTGGAGTTAATGTCCCCATCTGGTTTTAAAGAGAAAGTCACTAAAATAAAGCTTAAGCATGTCTATGTTTTCCCTAAAAATGAATGATAAGCTCTCCAACTTCTATGTAGGCACTCAGTATATAAAATATGGCTATTGAAGGTTCACAGGACCAAAGAAACATAGGATTAGAGATAGAAAAGACCATCGATGCCGTCTAGTCCAATCTTCTAATTTTACAATTGAGTAAAGGAATAACTTTTATTTCACTCACTACAGAAAATAAATGACTGTAATGACATAGATGTTCACAAACAAACACATGAAACGTAGAACCTTCAAATAGCCCATTAAACTCATTAGCATCTTTCTGAAAGATAGACACTTTGAGGTACTGCTGAAAAAGATAGTCCCCATTTAACTCAGACCTGGATCATCTGAGCAACTCACAATAGCTAGTTTCATAAGATCTAGTCTTCTTGATCCACCCCGTGGCATGGCTTCAGTCCTCCAACTAAAGAGTGATTCTTTTGTGGTATTCATCTTTTTATCCAAAAAGCACTCCAGTGAAGAAGTCTTTTCCCTGTAAGAATTTGGAACCTAACTCTCAAATTCAGGAACTCTCTTTCAGGAAGTGAAAAAATCACCCGTGACGTAACCCCTCAGACTGGAAGTATCTATTCTCAGTATCATTAATCTCTTACCTGTGCTCAGATCCAGGATGACAAGCCCAGAAACTCTCCCATCAAGATTAATGTGGGAAAGCATAGGACACTTTTTTTTTTTGCTTTTTAGGCAATTGGGGTTAAGTGACTTGCCCAGGGTCACACAGCTAGTAAGTGTCAAGTGTTTGGTCTGAGGCCAGATTTGAACTCAGGTCCTCCTGACTTCAGGGCTGGTGCTCTATCCACTGCGCCACCTAGCTGCCCCAGCATAGGACACTTTTCACGTGCTTCTCTTGCACATTGCCTTTTTGCCCTTTTTGGTAGAGAGAGGGAGGTGAGTAGGAGAAATCCCACCCACCACCTTGCTGTGCTCCAATCTGGAAGTCTAATAGAGAGAAAGTTCAGGAGATCAAAAAGGGTCAAATTGCATAGATCATGGAGGGGTTAGCTCCTCAAACTATAGTCTATCCTCCCTCTTAGAGGCAGCCCCAGTTACTAGGGATCAATCAGAAGGGTTCTCGGTTTCTTCTTAGGTAAAGGACAAAAGTGCATGTCTACCTCCATGGGAAACACTCCTTCCTAAAAAGGTCTGCAACCTACAATCTCATCAGATCTACTGAAACATTCATCAAATTATCAGGAGTTCTTTTGATCACACCCTAACATACTATCAGTGGGGATGTGGTAGGAGCAATATCCTAACTCCTGCCCCCATGAAAGTTAAAATAGTTATTTATTTTTTTCCTTAAAAGTTATTGAGACCATCCTTAAGATTTGACTGGCTCGGGGGACTTAAGGCTCAGGCTATTGATATCAATTTCTGGTCACCTGAATACAAAACAGCCACAAGGAGCTCCAAGTGCTCCCTCTGATGCATGGTTGCTAGATTATAACTTGGGCATGGGACCCAGTAATGCTGGCTTGGGGCAACAGAATAAGATGCAGACCATGGCTTGGTAGCTAGGAGACAATGAGCACAAATGCAGATCCCAATAACAGTAGACATCAGTGGGCAGTAGGCAGAGATGTGAACCTCAGTTGCCACAGATAGCAGAATGGCTCCCAGCACCATGGTAGCCCAGTGGAGAAAACTGAGCACTGGAATGCACAGGGAAATAAGGCAACCCTCCTGTAACCCATCATTTATTCTAATCCCAAGCTAATTGGCTCTACCACATTGCTGCCAATACAACATTCAGTGATCATTGAACAAGTCCCATCCAAGAAGGCCGAGAGGACCAAGGAGTGGCATTGTTGGGGCTGGCTTGCTTTGCGTGACTCGGGAAACAAAAAGCTCAGGCTTTTGACATTGCTTAATGGTCACCTGGTCACCAAGTCATGAGGAAGTCTGGGTATTCTGTGTGATGCTTGGCTGGTGGAACACAATGGGAAATTTAATCAAAGGAGCTCCACTCAGGGGTCTTCAGTGCCCATCCTCGTTGAATAGCCTCCTGGTATGGTTATGTAAACTTTCTGTTAACTCTTGGGTGATTGATGAGTGTCTCATCATTCCAATATTGAACCTAAATTATGAGGGACTATCCTGAGTCAAGCTCCAACCCTAACAATAAAAAAAAAATTAAAAACAAACCATCACACTCAGAAAGTTTAGAAAAGGTTAGGAAATCTACAGTATTTAGGGGCACCAGAGTTACTAGGAAATATTGGCTTGGGTGCTTTCCCTAGTCTCTGCCAGCTACCCAGATTTCTTTCTTGTCCTCTTTGTTTATACTATTTATTATTTCACAGTAATATATTAAATAAATATGATTAATATATTGATATTATAGTATTTATATTATGTACTCTGAGGTATATTTGTATGATCTTTTCAAAGATAAGATAAAGATACTAAGTACAATGTCCTCTCCACAGGTGGAGAAATAGGCCACACTACTTCCTTCCTTAATTAAATAATAAAGTCCAAAACCTTTGCAGAACTCCAAAAGTAGTGACAGAGAGGGTGGCCTAATACGCTAGATGAACCCTTACCTCATCCAACCAAATCTCCCAATAGTCCCCAAAGTCTCCATAGCTTCCATCAGGTTCATCTCATTACCATTTCTCCACTATCCTAGTTCCTTCCTCTATATGTCCCTTTATTTGGACTTCTTACAATACTCTTCTCTCCCCTTTATCTCCTATCTCCACCTAGTTCATTAAAACCTGTAGTAAAGGTGGCACCTATAGAAATAAATTGATGTGTGTATTCAATTAAATAACATAGCATATTTTAGTATAGTATATATAATACAGTTTACTTTCTTGTGACAAGGCAACTCTAATATTTAAAAACATGCACTCTTTTATCTCCTGCATGGAATAATTATACTTCTTGTCATTCTTATAGAATACTTCAGCAGCATTCTTTGTTCTAGATATGGATAGCTCAGGTATTAATTTATTTTGTTCAGTTGTTTTTCAGTTGTGTCTGACTCTTCATGATTCCATTTGGGTTTTTCTTGGCAAAGATCCTGGAGTGGTTTGCCATTGCCTTCTCTAGCTCATTTTATAGATGAGGAAAGTGAGGCAAACACAGTTAAGTGACCTGCTCAAGGTCCCAGAGCTAGTAAGCATCTGAGACCAGATCTGAACTCAGGAAGATGAGTCTTTCTGACTCCACTGAACCACCTAACAACCCACTAATGTATAACTCTTCTTGTTGGAATGGACATACGTGAACAATTCTCAGTTGTTTTTTGCTAAAACATACACACACACGCAGAAAAAATGTTTGAAGAAATGTCAAAAAAAAACTTACATTGTATTTCTTTTATTCTCTGTTATGTTTTTTGGTTTGTTTGTTTTTTTGCATTTACCTGTAGGCAAACTTTTTGGGTTCAAGTTGCCTGGTCTGAGGCTCCTGACCTACCGAAAGCAGTCCTTACCACAAGAAGACCCTGATGTGGTAGTGATTGACTCATCCAAGCACAGTGATGACTCAGTGGCCATGAAGCACTTTAAATCCCCTACAAAAGAAAGCTGCAGTCCCTCGGAAGCAGATGACACAAAAGCATTGATACAACCTAGCAAATGTTCTCCCTTGGTTAATATCTCGGGGCCGCTTGATCATTCCTCTCCCAAACAGCAATGGGACAGACTCTACCCTGACATGCTGCAGTCAAGCTCCCAATTGACTCATTCCAGATCAAAGGAAAGTATTTGTAGTATACGGAGGGCATCTTCAGTACATGATATAGAAGGATTCAGTGTCCATCCCACGAATGTATTTAGAGACCGACATGCAAGTGAAGGTATGTTTTAAAAAAATTAAGTATATTTTGATATATCCGAAGAGATCACTTCCTTGTTGGTTTATTTGAAGTTGGATCCTTAGGCTAGGAGGGAAAACTTTGACAAAAGATAGAGAGTTTTGAAAGTGTTAAGGTTGACTTTGATAACTATAACAGCTTCCTACTGTGACTCCAAATGGATGACCTGACTTTTCTGTGTTTTTATTTCTGCGACACTACAACAAGCATCCTCTACCTGCCCCATATGGTGTTAATTAATTTATGTTGATTACAAGACACTCTTAGGTGATAAACACTATGATGTACAATATAATTCATTTTTATTACACTTAGCAAATCACTGTATGTTCTGGGCTGAAAGAAAGAGGTCAAAGATGGTTGAATGAATAGAGGTATTCTATTAAGCAACTATTTCTAAAATAAATATTAATTACAAAGAAGTCCAGTGAACTAATGAAATAGTTGAAAATAATTCTATTTTTGTTTTTTATTCCTCCTGTTTCCATGAATAGAAATCACCCTCTATACCTAGAATGTATTCCCTATTACTTAAGTCTGTTTCATGTTAGGTGCCTCCTCTGCATGAAGCGTTCTCTGATAACTAAACTGCAGACCCCTGGGTAAAAGTGACAAATGTTCTTTATTTTAAATCTCCTTTTGCCCTTTCTTAGTCTATCTTCTACCTATGGTATAGATTTCACGTATTAGATTATAATCTCCCTAATGAAAGGAACTGAGTTATTTTTTCATCTTTGCATTTCTAGCATCTAACACAGCACCCTGTACATAATAAGCAATTAATACATTTTAATCAAATTAGAAAAGTCTGGGTTTGTAATAACATAATGACCTAAATACGTCAATCCTATCAACTCTTCTGCCATATAATTTATACTGCATTTCATAGTAGGATAAAATGCAGTCATTTTAAAAATGAATATTTTTTTTAATTATTGGTATATTCTAACTTTTTCAAAAGAGTTAATGTGAATCAGACAGAAATATTTCCTAATGTCCAGAATACTGTATTAATTACCTTAGGGGGACATAAAAACATAAAAAAGATCAAGCTCCCCCCCCAAAGTAGCTTATAATTTAATTGGAAAGTCAGAAAGCATACAAATGCATAACAAATAGCAACAGAAACAGCAACAAAAACCTACTGAAGTGCAAATTAATAGCTTAAAACCTAATTAATCCCAATTCAACAAATTTAGAATTTATGATAATTCTTATGTGAGCAGAACTAATTAATTTATTTTAATTAATTTTAAAAAGAATTAGTAAGCAAGTGAAATGCTATACATAATAGTTTAGTTTTGCCCAGCTTAAGTACACATTTTAAAAACTGCTAAAACCATTTTATCATTGTCCATTTACATACATTTACCACACTAGTGAAAACAAAATTCTTCTATACTAATTAAAGTAGGCCACATAGTACCTCTACTGGAAATACCAACATGGCTAATTAGGCTGATTAGGAAAATTCAAACTATTTTCTGTTAAAATAGTTTGAAATTCAAATTCTTCACTAATTCAGAATGGTCGAGTCAAAAAATACTAGGCTGATAAGGTTAGATTTGTTTGACCAAGGGAATGACATTGAAAAGGACAGAAATGATAGATTATCCTATCAGCTGTTTCCAAATGATTGTAGGTGGTTTCATCATCTAGCAGAGTAGTAAAGCAATCCAAGCATGAAGTGGTAGAAGCCTGTATAAGAATGTTTCGAAAAGCGAGGAAAACGGAGCTGTTCAGTTTGTAAGGAATAAATGAAATCTAGTGATAAATTGGAGATGGGGGAAGAAGACAGGATTCTGAAATGACTCCATTTTCAAAATCAAGCCTGGGTTTGGGAGAGGGGGCACTACTTAGGATACAAGTAATGGGGAAATTAGAAAGTTATGTTGGTCAGGAAAGAAAATCTATCACTGCATCATTTTTGACATGGCACATTTGGAGTTTTAGTGAGCTATTTAAATAAAGTCCAAGAAACTACAGATCTAATTCTGGAGAAAAAATGAAAAGTTGGAGTAATGGAGTATCCATTTGAGAATCATCTGCAAACAACACTTGAAATCTTTAATAAAATCATTTAAGTAGATAAAATTCCCCCAACTCCACCTTCAAGTAGTAAAGGGAGAAGAGCAGAAGGCTTGTAACAAATCTGGGTTTAACAGTGGTAGAACATTGAAACAGCCAGGTAAAATGGAAAAACCAGAGAAGACAGGAACCTCAGTAAATTATAAGAAGAGAAGAAAATCCCAACTTCACAGGAATTGAGAGAAGGAAGAATTTGTGGAAAAGATAATAGCCATACCTACAGCAATGACATTGAAACTACTCATCTCTGCTGTAGAATAGTGAAAGAGGAAGTAAAGATTATGGATAGCACACAAGCTGGAAATTCAACCATAGTAAACCTTTACAGGTCAATCACAGAGCCAGGGACTACACAATCAATTTGCCACATTAGTAAATTAAGTGAACAAAATAAAAAGATTCAGGTAAATAGTAGTCAAATTCATTGTCTAGAATCCTAGTGTCAGAAGCAACCAATTTGAGCAAACGTGCACTGCATAGCCACAGACTTTAAAAAAAAAAAAAAGATGATTTGATTGAAGTCTAATCTTTGATTGGGTCTTTGGGGTCTCCATTAGTGCTAAGTTATTGACATAACTTAAACATATCTATTTAATAACTGATTTAATATTTCATATGTATATCTGCATAAGCAGGAAATTACCATTGTTTGAAAACAGACTTGGCAGATCTAACAGAAACTCAATGCCAAGATTTTCCAAAATCCATTCATACTTTCCTTTCCTTTCCTTACCCCTTCCAGAACTTCCCAATCACTCCCCAAAGGTACATCTTTTACTTGCAAGAGTTTTTCTTTTGTTATCACTCCTGAAGTAATGGAATGATAAAAATAGATATTTTATTCTGTTCTTGTACTATTGAGCATTTGTAGCTACTCCAGAGTAGATTAAAATAAGATTGACCAGACCTCATAGGACTATATTCTTTGAAATCTTTTGGAAACTGGTTCATTTGTAAAGGGAAATGGAATTGACACCTTTTTGTGGATCAATGTTTTATCCTTTTAATATAATTCATAGAAAATGTTAAATCTCCTAATTGGTTTTTAATTCTGATAACTGATTTTGCAAAACAAGAGAGCTCCTTTATTTATAGGTTAGGTGTTTTCATCTCTTCACTCTGTTTGGAGTGATGACATGATTTGGGAAAATGAACAAGTGATTTTCAAATAATTTAAAGCACCTTCAGAAGAGAACTCTAAATACACACGAGCAGCTTGGGTGGACACAGTTCAAATGGAAGTGGTCATCCTGTATAATCCATATACTCACATTCTGTTAACTATCCTATGTATCAGTTACTTGTGGTACAGAAAGAAAGGAAAAGAGTTGGCCGTTATACCTCAACTCTATTTGTATATTGGAGTCCAAGACATATTAGGTTTACAATTCGATAGAATGAATATTTGCTTTTGAAATTGTTTCAATTTTGTGAATTGAAACAATCAAAATATATCTCCAGGTTTTTCACATGCTTAGTAGTAGTATAGATGTTGCCAAAATGTTGATCATTTTTTTAAAAATCTTGGATATATTTGGCTAATGTTGAAATAACTAATTATTTCAAGTCTAATTTTGTGACATTTAGACAAAATAAATGCTACAATATCAATGGACGATTTCCCTGTTTTGAAAGCAGTCTGAAATCTTTCATATTTATATTGTCTTGATACACTGAATTTAGCACCTAGAGAACAGTGGGAACTTAATATTAAGACATCAAGTATACTAAGCAATCACAATGGACTTTTGAAAAAAAATATTTAATAAATATTTTGAGATAGCCTAGCATTTTATATGTTCTTACTATTAACACACTGCCCCTTAAACACTTAACATAAGTCCATTTACTAGGGTGCTTTGAAACTACTCAGTTTCTTTAAAAGATGAATAATTCAATATGGCTGGACACAAATATGGAGTGAAATGGATATGTGCATACTTAATATATGTTTTCAATGCATTCTTAATAAGAAAGTATAACTGTCAAAAATGAAAATTAGTTTAAGGTGTACGGTACTATAAAATCTTTCTTCCCACATGTCTTTTATGTGCTGTTTCAGGAAACGTTGGAATTTAGCACATACCTGGATTAATATTTTTGCACTGACACTATTGCCAGCTGAAGAAACTATTCTCCATATTAGCATAATGGATATTGTTGAAAAAATAAAGTCGGATGACTTTTTAATGTCCTCTAAAATGGAACCTTTACAATATCAGATGAATTTAATTTAAATTAATTGTCCTTTTGCATGGTTAAAGAATAAAAATTTGTGCTAATTCCAATCAATGGCACATTCTACTCTATTGCATTCTGTTTCTTTGATATGTTTTACAATGGTAATTCTAAGAACAAAATGCAGGTTTTAGTCTCCTTTTTATCTTTCTCTCCTTTTCTTTATTCTTATAATGCTGAATACAGACAATGGTCGCCATGTCAAAGGTAATGTACAAGTATAGATTCTGTTATCTGATGCTTAAAGCGCCATGTTATTCGGCATGTTACCTTGCCTGTCATATGACCTGTATGATATTCCATTCTCATGCGGACCTCAATAGGGCCTGGCATGTTATTGAAGTAGTTTGGAGTTTGGCTTGGTTTTACTAGAGACATTATAATGTACTCCACTAAGTCACTGTAAGCCAGTACTTACTGGAAGAAGTATGAGGATAAAGTGACAATGGTGCACCTGAAAGAGTTAAGATACTTCAGCTAGTTCTACTGGGAAGGAGGCACATAGATCTGTTTCACATGCAAAACAGTTGAGTAGACATAAATGGCAGGAACAGAGCTCCATGGTCGTCTCTTCATTTATTCCTCTTTTGTCTCCTTAAAACTAGTTTCACGTTCCTGGATGGCAGGGGGTATGGTTTTAAGCTTACTGTAGTAGTAAAATGTGCATGCATGACATTCATTTGTTGATATTCAATATCACCTTTAAATAGTTTTTAATTGCATCCAAAATTAGTCTCAAATCACTGGTATTAACTGGAACAGCAATTTTTTTTTTAAAAAAGGCTACTCTGCCATACCTTCTAGTGAATTTGGATTTGATTAAAAATGTATAGTTTGTTTTGTCCACTTTCTACCATATCCCATTAAATACAAGGTGTCACAAAAGATAAGAACAACATTGTTTCATGTCAGATTGAAAGCTGTTTTGTCATTCTCTGTGAAACCATGCATGTGGCTAAGTATTGTGAGTATTGTAATAAGAACTCCTTCTCTGGTGCATGTGTGTTGCATGTGCAGGTTTTATAAAGCAGCCATCCCTGGTGTGCTGAAAAGTCACTATTTTGGCTTCTTGTGAATATCAGTGGTGTTCTGTACACTCTGTACTTTTGCTTATTTTTCACTCCTATGCATTCAGTGCTGGTGAAGATTTTGGATAAACAGCACTGAAGACTGAAGACCTTACTACAAAAAGGCTAATTTTGAGCAAATGGAAAACGTGGTAGAGTTCCCCCACTTTGATTTTATCCAAAGACCTTAGAATTTGAGCTGAAAGGATTACCTGTAATGGTGGGATGGTGTTTCAGTCTCTATGGTAAACTTAATCCTCAGCCTATCCACTGTGACTGTCAACAAGGAGGCCAATTAGTGTCAGTTATGGTGATAAGGGTGTTTTTTTTTTCTGACTATGATTCAGGCATTACTCTGCAATCAACATTATATAGGTAGATAGTACTAACTTTTAGTGCCTGCCATCTTGGGCTATATTTGAAACAAGTTTATTAATTAGCAATAAGCTCACAGGTAATTTTGCAGACACTTGTTTCTCCTCAATAAAAAGAAACATGAGTTCATTATTGTTTTAAGAATAAATAGTTCAGATAGTCAATATCCACAGACCTTTATCATAATGTTGTTTCTGTTTTCCAACTAATTCATTTTGTTCTTCAAATTTTCTTCAGTGTTATTTAATTTCATTCCCTATTTTAAATAAAATGGGCAATTTTACAAGTAGCTTTTGGCTCTCTCTACAGCTGTATCACATAAGACATTTTTATTTAATTTTATAAAAAAACTTACTTTAATAAATTTTTATCTTAAGATGTGAAAAGCTAATTGAAAGATAAATATAAACACAGGTTCTCATTATATCTGACATTTATTGGAGATGAATCACCATAGCACTAGTTTTGAAAACTGCTAGGTAAGGTTTAAGTGGTTATTCAAGTTTTCCCTAAAGTAGCTAGCTGCAACTGTCAATCGCAAAACATATTTGCAAAATGTTTTTCTGGCTTCCCAGAAATGGATTTAGACATTACATAATTGAAAACAACTTCTAATAATAATTTAAAATGACAGCTAATAATAGCTAGTGTTTTCATAGTGGTTTAAGAATTACAAAGCACTTACAAATATTAATTAACTCATTTTATCCTCATAACAACCCTGGGAGGTAGATGCTATTATTATCCCCATTTGACATATAAGTAAACTGAGGCAAACAAATGTTTAGTGACTTGCCTAGAGGCACACAGCTAGTAGGAGTCTGAGACTGGATTTCAACTCAAGTCTTCCTGACTCAAAATCCAGCACTATATCCTTCTGTACCACCTAGCTACCCTCATATCAATTTAGATATTTATACATCAATAAAACCCACAAGTGTGACTAAATTATTCAAATACCTAGCATCATAAAGAAACCTTATTTACTGAGATATAATCAGGTAAGGGCTTGGAAGAATTTCAGGTTCATCTTATTTGTTTCCTTTCAGGCAATACGCCTGACAGATACATATAAAACACCATGAAGAGATCAGTTTATATTCTTTTATTAAAGCTATCCAAATAAAGTGATTCCATTGCCTTCTTTAGCAACTTGTTAGAGCATCTTCCGACCCACAAAACTAACCTAAATCCTTCTTGCTGGAATTTAATCTCCTTTGCTTTTAATGTCTCCTTAGTGTACTCAACCACTAGCTGGACACTGCCATTTAATGTAATAACACTTTAACTTAAAGGCCATTATTAAATCAGTGTTCAACCTTTGCTTCTAAAGTTAAATCATTCCAACTTAACCTTTTCTCATAAGATCCATTCATTCCCTTTAATAAACTTAAATGTTTGATGCTATCATTTCCTCAAAATAACTAGCCATAGTCTACAAAGAAAGGCTTCACCATTATCAAAACAAGCAGGATTACTTCATTAATTTTGAATGTAACTATGTAGATACTATAACCATTTCTGTAACATGTCACAGGCTATTCTAATTCTGGTCCTATTTGAATTATTCAGCTCCTTTTATGCACCTGCATCATCAATGCCCATGTTGTCTATTCATTATCTGAATCACTGATAAAATATCTTATCATTGAACCGCTATGACCTTTTGAAGACATTATTCCTAATTGTTGTGCAATGTTCAACAATGAAATAACCCTTTCCCAAACTTGTGTAAGTCTCTAATAAGGAACAAAAACAAAAGCCCTATCCATTAGTTATTATAGCATTCACCTTTTCTAACTAAGAATAGTATGGCTATCCTCAGAAATAGGTTAGTTTAGACTTTTTCACAAAGGCTGCTAAGTAGTTGCAAACTGATTCTCCGATGGTATAGGCTCTTCATTTATCTTATATGCTTACATTATATATTAAACACTATATACACTGAATAAAATCCAATCAGAAATGCACAACCATTTCTTTCAGGCTCTTTCCAAGTGTTAATCTGATTGGTAGGTGATGCTTAGAGGCATTCTTTTTCCATGATCTTTTTTCGGAAAGGCCCAATTTGTGTCTTTCAACTGCTAAGGCTACCCAGCTAAATAATGCTGTGATAAACTTCAGAAAAACCCCTATGTTTCTAAGAGACACCTTAAACCTGCTGATGTGAATACTTGTTCTAGCTTGATTTATTTATCTCTCGAGAAAAAAATCCATTTTTTGTATTTTTTTAAAGCAACACTATGTCCTCAGCTATGTTTCCTTTCTTATACAATGAGGATATTATTGTTGGTCTTCCTTCAATGCCTGGTGAATTTAAGTAATATTTTAGTATTGCAGTTAAATAACCTTAGCTTAAATGTTCTTTTAGGGTGTTTTTGTTTTGTTTTGTTTTGTTTGAGAAACCAAACCTAAAGGTTTAAGAAAAAACCCAAACCCTTAGATTTGATTTCTCTAAGTGTATCTTGGATCTTTGTATTCAAACCCTTGAACCTGGTTTAGTTTTATACTTCATCAGACATTTTGTACCATATGCAGCTATTGGATTTTTTAATTAAGTTTCTTTTTTTCCAACATCTCCTAATACATTGGGCAGTTGGGTCTTTTGAACTGGTAATTATCTCTTTAAAGAATACCAGACTCTCCCATATTCCTGTGTCTTCTAAGTATATATTCATCTTACTACTGCCACGTGTAGGCAGGGGTTCATTTTATTTAAATTCATCTTCTCAGCTTCTCAGGTGACTCTCCTTTCTTTCATTTTCTTCTTAGTCCTCATAGGTCTTGATCACTTTCAGTAAGGCTGCCTGTCACTTTTCAGTGCTTAACCAAGTCATTTCTGAAAACAGAATTAAAAAGTAGGAAACTCTGATGTCTGATTTCTAGCTTTTGAATCCAATTGCTTTGTGGCCATGTGATCTCTGCCTCAGATTTCTCATATTTGAAATGAGAGTTATAAAATTACCCAAACTCAGATAGGAGGAATACTCTCATTAATATTTTGGAAAAGTTTTGAAGGCTAAACATGCTCTAAGCCAGCTTATTTCCTCTTGTAGATTTTTCAAAAGCTTTGGAATATAAACATTTGAATGCAAAATTAATTTTTAAGAAAGCATAATGAGCTACAATGTAAAGGATTAAATGACATTTTAGTTTATAGAGAAAGTCTTTGCTTGATGCTAGCTTCCATGAATCCCTTTAACTCAAGAGTTCTTCACCTGAGCTAAGTATAGACATCAGGTTTAGTATCTTAACATTTTAGCAATATTACATTCCATCTCCTATATCTGAATTTTTTAACTTGGGTTCCATGGAGAGATTTTGGGGGGTCCATGGATTAGAAAAATATTCCTTTACTTTCACTAATTTCTTAGCATTTCCTTCAATTATTTAAAAACATTATTCTTAGGAGAATGTTGGCTTTCCCAGACGCCAAAATGTTCCATGACACACTTTAAAAAGTCAAAGGATGCCTACTATAATTTTTGATGAACAAATTAAATTTGTAGGTGACTATGATCAGGAATCAGTATGTGAGGCACTAAGAATAAAAATCTGCAGTAACAAACAGAATTTACTACTGAGGAAAAGACATCTTCCATAAATAAGATAAGCCAAACCACCTTTAGCAATAAAAGTGAAGCTTATTTTATTCTAGTCTATGTCTGGGAAACAGAAAAAATAAATAACAAAGCTCAATCCCGTTTTTCATTTATCATCATAACCATTTCATTTATGGTGATTGGGTAATTGGGATCAGTTATAGAAACAAAGTGAAAAGATTGGCAGTGCCATGCTCCTTTTTACCCATCGCATATAAAACAACTCTCTATATAGCATTGTCCTTTCAGGAGTGGGTGCTAGACAGCTACTGTGACAACTGAAGCTATAGACATTCCATCAAAGAATTTCAAGCTATTTAGTAAAAAGAGAACATTTTCTTGGACCACCCACCCTCTCCTAAAGCCTGGTCAAAATCCTTATCAGTAGCCAAAATTGTCTTTTGCTGTGGACTAGAAGTTTGAGGGCTGTAGAAGAGATTAGCCACAAAGAAAAAATTGTTGTGAAAGCCACAAATATCACAACTTGGGTTGTGATGGAAGTTATTACTATTCTTGAATTTGGCCTTAGAAAGCTACAAATAAAAATATATCTATACCAGGCTTATAACATCTAATAGAAATAAATTGGTAATACTTAGTGGGAACTTCTCTAAAAACCATAAGAATGAGATTACTTTGGGGCCATTTTCTCCTCTTATTACAATCCTTGTCATATGAATAGAAACAAAAGTCAGAATCTATACTCAAATTAGGACAGTCTAGGCAATATATGCCAGGATATTTCAATAGAATACATCGTAGTGACAGACCTGGCTGTCACCATGAATGAAATTCAGTAAGTGAAGAGTTGCAACTAAGAAGAAACACATTGTTTTAATTTAATAAACAATTGTTTATTTCTGTTAAAATTTCTTAAAATGTTTTAATTAAAATCTGTTAAAAATTTCTTAAAATTTTCATAGATAAATACCTTGTGATTTCCTTTGAGTTTTGTTATAAACTCAAATTTTATATAGGCTTATAGTTTACAGGCTGTTTTTATTTTTTAATATCACACCTATATGGCATCGATTGTTCATTGTGGTCTAAAATACTTGATCTGCAAATAATTATTAGAAATTAAAGAAGTATTTTTACTGTTACCTACTAATACTTAAAATACATTCCAATCCCCCAAGTTCTGGCATGATTCTTAGAGAAAAAAGCTAGTAACATAAAGCAAGATATGCAGGCTCAGAATTATCCTCAAACACATGTATGTATATGTATATATATACATATATATATATATATATACACACACACACACACATATATGTATGCGTGTGTGTGTATGTATTTATATATACATATATATGTAAACTAGTTACATTATGGGATTCTATATTGTATTCTATAATAATTCTGTATGTGCTCCTAAATACCATTAGGGCAATATTCTTGAATAATCCTTCCTGCCTATTTGCTATTAGAGAAAAAATAATGATGGGTATGGAGAGCCTGCCTTTCACATCAGAAAACTCCATTGGCGACATCCTGGGTAAGCAGCAGAGCAGTAGGTTCCGTGGCAGAGGAAAGTATATCTGGTCACACTGGAGAGGAGGAAACAAGTGAGCAATGAACCAAGATTTTCTAACAACTTGTCTTAATGCACAAGGGGCATGGGAGAGAAGGTATATATGCCACTCACCTCAGATAAATCCTCCATGATTACAAAATCTTATCCCCAAGATAAGAATCTGTGGATGGCAGGATTATCTATCTAGTTTTCTCAGATGCACGAGTCCTCAAGGAGTTTGTCTTAAATCAGGATGAAGCCATGACAAAAAGGGAAGAAAAGAAAAATTCTACACAGAAGCTAGATTTCTCCACTAAAGGGATACCAATTATTCCACACACACCCCATCCTCTACCTCGTATGTAGTCAACCCATCCTGTTAACCCTTGGCTACTTCAAGCTAGCCCATCATTTAAAGATGACATACTCTTGTTAGGGGCACTTTGCAAAGCTTAAAACGTGAGGTATCCAGCCAGCTTATCACTTCTCCTCAGATTCTGACTGGGGACTTACATCAAATAAGCATCCAGGGCACAAAGGTCATGGGATAAATAAGAGGAAAGGCATACAAATCTGGCCTGCAGATGTTGCTTATCTGGAATTTCCATAGTTGGTATATCTTTCCCATATGCAAATTCTTCCTTGAATCATATCCATGATATGCATGGATTATAATGAGAGATTCAGGAGGGCATTTGAATTCAGAATTCGACCAGTAACAGTCGGTTGAGGTTTTTTATTTTATTCCAACTTTAATGAAGAAGCTAAACTTGCCATCTTCTATCTCAGTCTAGGCCCAGGGCCAAATTCTGTCCCCTGAAACATGCTGCATCCAGGATGGCAGAAAGTGACCCAAAGCCCTGTATTTGGGTACTAAGTCATTGAATTTAGTCTTATCTGAGTTACGTATGTACTGGACATACCTAGTCAGTGTTATCATTTAGAACCATTCTTTTCTTCTTCTGTTCCCTCCTAATATCACCTACTATAAATGATTTCTGATTTTTTAGGACCTTTTAATCATATCAAGTCAAGTCTACTGGGATCCACATCTGATTCAAATCTCAACAAATACAGCACCATCAACAAGATTCCTCAGCTTACTTTGAATTTTTCAGACGTCAAAACTGAAAAAAAGAACACATCCCCTCCATCTTCTGAGAAAACAATTATTGCACCCAAGGTTAAAGATCGAACACACAATGTGACAGAGAAAGTTACCCAGGTAGGTATGCTTTACAATCAACTTCCATTGAGGCTTTCATTCTTTCTCTTCTTGCATTACTTTGTTGTGTGGGAAACATATTTCTCCCTAACACAATTAGGATTAGCAGTAA